ATTTCTAGCCACTTCCACGTGACCCTAGAGGCAGCTCCCGTAACAATTAGCTATATACATATGATCATGCACATGCGCAAACGCGCACATGAGCGATCGCAGCTGTGATTGAGTGCGATCCGTGACAATCGATATTCAAACAATATACAAAACAAGATTCTTTAAAACAAAATCACAAATCTTTAGATAGAATAGTTACAGGGTTACTATAAATGATATTGAGTAGGGGAATATTAAAAGCAACAAACCCCTAATTAATTAATAGTATACTACTATAAGCAATTGGAATACTGGCGGTCTGTAGGCCCGCTCCTTAGTATATTTAGAATACTTCTTGAGAGATCAGATATTAGATGTTAATCACTATAAATAAATAAATAAATAAATAAATATTAATATCTACTCTTTTATAGTATAAAAAGGATTTAGAGACATCTATAATAATATGAAAAATATAAAAGAATAAGATTTGAATTTTATAAGAGGATATATCTAAAGTTAATAAGATGGTCCATGACGATAATTTAGAGCAAAATAAAAGAGATTATATTAATGGTATATATTATAAACAACGTGAATCCCCTCAACAAAATCACACGGGCTAATAGTATAGTGGTATTATGTTCGCTTCGCAATTCTCCAAAAGAGATTAATCGTGATTGTGAAAGGTCCCCGGTTCGATCCCGGGTTAGTCCAATTTTTTTTTCAATTTTCAAGGTGTTTTTGAAAGGTAATCTTCGGTTTGTTGAATGTTGGAAGAGACATTCAATTTGCAATGATAAAAAATCAGGGAAAAAAGAAGTGAGAAAATCCTGTGGGACAGGTGGACCGTGCAGGGCCTTGCCCATGGAAACACAGAGTGAGAATCACACATATACTCGACACCACCGTATTTCAAACATAGTAAGCAAAAGAAGACATTGTTGCAGAGCTACACACAGTGTTGACATAGCGTAGTTTCGATTTTCTTCTGCTACTTTGGATTCCGGTTGATTGACTACCACACTTTTTTATCCAATCTTGCAATGTGTGTGGCGATCACGTGAACAAACTTGGTTAGGAGCACCGTCTGTATTATTATGATTTGATACATAATATAAAGCAACAGTTGTGGTACGGTCTTATCAAGCGACCTCAAATGTGTTGAATAATTGGAAAAGCAATGCGAAATTTATTAAGAGTCAAGAGGTTGTCTTGATCACGGGTGGTTCCAGTGGGATAGGAGAATCAATGGCAAGAGAGTTCTCATCTAAAGGGGTCGAGGTTGTGGTAATGGATGTGGCCAGATTATGGGGTCTGAAGGAAGCATGATTAAATCGTGTCTACTGTTGTGAATGACACAGTGCGAAAGGAATGTTATACCCCTAAACCAGACCCCCATGTTATTGTTATAGCTCACTCAAATTTTATAGTATATATAGTAATTGCATTAGCGTTTGGTGGATCAGCAAGAGAATTTCGCGCACAGACCGTCAAACCCAGTAAGCGCGAAAGAAGGAAGAAATGTTTTAAGGCTCCACCTTCTGCTCTCTTATCTTAGCGCCTTCTGGCTATCATTGAATTTCTCCAAGCTCCCTAATTTTTTCTACATCCAATATATGAAGATATACCAGACACCTGTTCATTGCCAGTGATTCTAGGAGTATTTCCTTGAATCTAGGTCCCACCTTACCATAAATATGTCCTCGACTTCAGAATACACAAGGTTACACATAACCCCACTCAATCCCAACCTCCTCACTACTATAATACCTCCGTCAATTCTCCCTAATGCGAAGAACATTTCCTACCACACCCTCGAAACTTTCCAGGACAGACCTTACGGTTTTGTTGACCTACCTATTATGGATGCCGAAAAGTTAAAAAAGAAGCTCCATGGCTCTATATTAAAAGGTTCGAAAATCCGTATCGAAACAGCTCGACCAGCCAAAGATTTAAGCCCAGTAAATGAGCCAGAACCAGCGCCCAAGAGACAAAGAGAAAAGAAGGATCCAAGCAAAAAGCGCAAACGAGGAGAGGAAACCATACCTGCTGTAGTAATTGGAGATAGGAAAGTTAAGAGAGGCTGGACTACAACTGCCACAGATATAGGCAAGGCGAAGAGAGAATCAAAGGAGCTTAAGAATGTTGTTAAGTCAAAATATACTACAAATGAGGAGTGTTTGTTCAAGACAATCTTACCGCCAAATGTTGCTGCACATACGAAGGCTACGAGTGGTGAGAAATCGAGTAGAAGGAGTAAGAAGGGTAGAGGTACTGTTGTGCACGAGTTTGCTAAAAGCACAAAATATGCTACCTTCTTAAGAAGTAACACTGAGGGTACAAAGTCGAAGCCCGCGGTAGAATTTGTGGATGGGAAAGGGTGGGTAGACGAAGACAGTAATGTGGTAGAAGAAGTGGTAAAAAAGGTACGGAAGAGTCAGAAACCACCCAAGGTTGAGGAGCTCGATCAGGAAAAAGCAATGGGCAAAGATAGCGGCAGTAGTTCGGACCAGGACAAGTCCTCAGGAGGAGATTCTTCATCTGATGAATCTGATTTTGAAGATCGAGCGATGAAGAAAGTGAGGCAGGCAGCAGAAGTCGAGAGCAGCAGCTCATCAGACTCGGAGAGTTCTGCCGACGAAGACGAGTATATAAAGCCACAATTAAAATCCGAGGATATTGTGATGACAGAAGCGGTTAAAGAAGCCCTCGAGGTTCCAATCGAGACAGAGAGGCTTTCGGATGGAGAGAGCTCATCAGAGGAGGAAGTGGAACATATCAATTCGAGCCAGCCAAAAGTCTCCAAGGCTGAAGCTGAATCGGAAGATGATGCATCATCATCAGGCTCTGACACATCGTCGGATTCTGAGTCATTGGATTCCTCTGATAGTGACTCGGAGGACGAAGATGCATCGTCTGTCGTAGCCTCCCCTGAGAATCTCTCCACATCCACACCATCGACAATGCCACCGCCAACCTCGATCATGACCCCGGAAACGAAAACAGCCCGACCTCAGTCATCCTCTGGTCTAAGTATTACGATACCCTCTCCCATCGTCCATTCAACATCCATCCCCACAGAGGTACATCCTCTTGAAGCTCTTTACAAACGTTCTAAACCTAATCCTGACTCCAATTCCGATGAACCCAAACCTGAAACCAAGTCAACCTCCTTCAGTTTCTTCGGCGCTGATGATGAGGACTCCGATATTGGCGAGGAACCCAATCAAATCCCTTTAACACCCTTCACCCAACGCGATTTCGAATCTCGAGGCTTGAGAAGCTCAGCACCGACACCTGATACTGCTTACGCCAACAAGAGATTTGTATGGCCTGGAGGCAACGAGCATGATGATGATAACGATGAAGGAAATTCTCCAACACCGAAAGATTCTATAGGTGGAAAGATCATATTCAAAGAGAAAGAATCAGAGGAGGCGCCCGAAAGTGATTTTCAGAAATGGTTTTATGAGCACAGAGGAGAGAATACGAGAGGGTGGAAGAAACGGAGAAAGGCTGTTGCAAAAGAGCAAAGGCATAGAGAAAACAAGAAGAGGAGTCGTGCTTAGTTTTCTATTACCCTGTATTTAGTCTGGATGATTCTCTTTTGTCAAATACCTATGTAATCGACTGTTGGTCTTTCAGTCTCTTGTCTTGTCAGTTTCCAGACAGCTCCTTCGTATAATCGCACGACTGAATCATCACCATTATCATTCATTATGAACATCACAGCCAGTCAAAAGCATCAATGTGATCATATCATCTCTCAAAACATAGCACAGCACAGCAAAATGGCGGAAACTCAAAGGCGATTTCAATTCTCTCAGTCTAACTAACGTTAAACCGGCAACCACGAAAAGAAATTCCTCAAGATAGCTAGACCCTCCTTGCCACAGAGGCTCAACCATCTTTCAATCCTTTAGTTCCCATTTTATGTTTTCTTCAATTTCACCAACTCGCTCGCTCCCGCATAAACGCATAACTAAAACTCGAAACTGAGATGAACACTCATGCTGCTACCAATGAACTGCCGCCAAATTATATGAGTTTACTTTTCGTTCCTTCCTTTCTTCCTTTTAGATACTGTTCACCTTTTTAGGCAGTGCAGTGAATACGTGCACCATTTCCAATCAGTAAGGACTGTTGTACAAGCTGAAAAGAAAGTCTAGCTTTTTGTAATGGGTAAAAAAATCACTATATCTTCGTGTCTTTCGAGAATCGCGGCATCGCAAGGTCTCAAAGCGCGGAGACAGACGTATACCAAATTGAATAGGATCATTCGTCAAGAGCACAAAGATCAGGTTATGTAGTGTTTGCAAAGCGCCGCTGTATCTTGAACCTTGTGGAACTGTGCACACCGCAACGTATGGTACGCAAGGTGTGGCCACTTCGACAGGATTCAAGATCAGGATAGTTACAAATGAGAGTGGTTCCGTGCTCCTGATCGATCTAGAATTCGTGTTCCGAGTCCAGGGTTTTGTGACAATAAACCGTGAGAAAAATCGTATGTATCGTAAGTATGTGCCGTGTCACATTGAGTACATTATTAAGTGACGGGGTCGTAAGAGTGCGTAATAGGATAGGTGAACTTAAGATCACTCCCATATCCGTGTCGTAATTTTCGTAAAAAGGAAAACAGAAAGAGAAATCCTGGTGCATAATCCCCAAATATAAGAAAAGGTCGCAAATGGTATGTTGTAATCGTACAGGGTATTGGGTATTCAAACAGTGATCGTTCATTTTTCCAAAGTATGATCATTCTCTTTCTTTCATCGAGACCTTTCCAAAGGGTGAAGATGAAATATGAAGATGAAAAGCTTGGAGCTCGAACGCAATGGGTGATGGTAAAATGAAAAAAGAAATAAAAGCAAGTGAAACTTTTGACCAGTACTTCTAGCTCTATCGAGGGATTGAAGTCGGTTGAATTATGATGCGAATTTGAAATCGTAGGATGAATGTTGGCGCCTAGATGGTATCCGGTAGCTTTCAAATGCGAAAAGAAGAATAAGCAAAGAGTATTAATCAAAAGCACGTCCTTTACCTTTGCCACCACCAGTGTAGTATTTAGCAGGTAATGTCTCCATATTGCCCTGGTTGTTGTTGTCGCCATCGTTCATGCTATCGCGATAGGGATTTCTTGATGGAAAAGTGGAATCAGCTATATCGATACTATCCAGTGCTGAACCTTCCTCGGTATTTATTCTTGAAGCCAAACCGCCAATATCAAAATGTGCTACACCTCCATTAGTAATTGCTTCTGATCGTTGCTGGTGCACATTGCTGCCACTACTGCTAGCTGTAGCAAAATCGGCTTCGGAATTATCATCTCGTGATCCATATTGCTTGAGCTTGCCGTCTACGATGCGTTTATGGCAGATTTTGCGGGGTCTTTCACCAAGATCTGGCGGTGGCGGAAGGTGCTGTCCTAACGCAATTTGCGCACTCTGGTGACTGAGACTCTTTTCCAACTTCTCCAAAGGACCTTCGGTTTCGACACGCTTGAGGGGGGGTGGAATTGCCATGTCCAAGTCAATCCTTGAGCTAACATTTGATGGGATAGTGCTCATAGGTACGAATTTACCGGCGCCTTGTTGTTGCAAATTTTCTGGGCTGTGCCGTAGAGGATGTGGAGATGGCATGTATGGATACATGGACGTTTGTGATGGTGCTGCGGGATCAATTGTGCTTCGATATCCGTTCCAGATATCGGTGATGTCAAGCGAGGTCTGCAAGAAATAGAAGTTAGTACTAGTTTTTGAGAACAAGACTGAGATTGTTCAGAGTTGATCGCTTGACAAAACTATGTTTGACTGTAATAACTTGTACTTACTTCTGGAGCTGGGCTTTCTCCCATGAGGGTTCTCATTGCTAGATCTCGATGGGTTGCAGCTGCCACTAGACTATCCCTACTTCTGACTGATGTTCGTGCTGACATCCCAGTAGGGGTGAAAGGCGCATCTGGTGTGAGAACATTGACAGGGCGAGATCCACTTGGTTTGCTGGGAGTATGATGCACTGTAGAGAAATAATCGGCTTGTCGAGAGAAGCCCGGGCTCAGTATAGCCTGTGGCAAGGGAGTTAGAGGTGATTCCGCAACTACCGGAGAGTAGTTGTAATTTCCAACGTGTTCATTGATCATGATGGGAGACTGGTAATCTGATCCGCCTCTAACTCCATACAGTGGAACTTGCTCAAAGCCATGGTTGGTGTTTGGGACTTGTCGAAACGTGTCCGCATTAGGTCTCATGACCTCAGTATATGAGTTCTGAACAGTCTGGGGTGTGGCGAAGGAGGGGAATTCACCTTGACGAGGGGTATGAGCAATTGGGACCATTTCGAAAGATTGTGGGCCAGGAATTCCACTCTCCAGATCGCCACGACTTCTAAGGTTGCTGTCTACAATATCTCGACTTCCGTTGGGTCGTCTGACACCGACTTGAGAATTATGAGCAACTCCACGTATTAGCATAACAACGAATGTTGAAGCTCCGACGCATAGAAGGAGAACACTGAGGACAAGCCACCAGATGACTGGAACGCTGATATTGTAAGGGCCTGGTTTATTGTTGGTATCCTTTATCGCAATGATGACTCCAACGCAAACTGCTGTAGAGAGTATGCCAAATTGTGTTACTCCAACCGTAACCCAGCAACTGGTTGTTAGATTGCTAAAGAATCCAATTCCCCCTTTGTTATTGATGGGCAGGGAGCGCCGTACTAGGTGCGGCTCTGCCAAACGTCGCTCTAGTGCTAATCGTTCGTCTTGTTTCCTTGCCGCAAACTGAGCTCTTGCCTCAGCTGTCACTCTGATCGGAAGGGGTGGTCGCGGGGTTGGTCGTGGTGGTAGCTCAGTCGGGAAACTAGTTGATTTAGTGACTTTAGCAGGAGAGGGGGTTGCTCGTTTTCCATTGTAAGTAGAAAGGAAAAGTCCCATATGCATATCGCTTAAGCCCGAGTAAAGTTCATCCTCAGAAACCGCAGAAACCGCTGTGGAATTGGGAGAAAATTTGCTCCTCTTAGACTTCTTGTCTTTGCCCATTTTCGAACTCGTGTCTTTAGGACTAGTGAGAGCCCCTAGTTGATCCAAGTTCTCTGGAATAGCTTTAACACCGTACGGTATTGTATTTTTAAAGGGCGATGTACTCGATGCCTCAAAGACTGGGGCAGCATTATCACCAGAACCTTTGGCAATCAAAGTCGGTTTTTGATCATGATCATATGATCGCTGGATAGCAGAAGATTGATTCTCTTTTGCAGTATGAAGTCCATCGTCATAAGTGCTCTCCATGCCAAATGAATCCATATCATTGGTACATGCGCTTAAACCACGTGAATGACTGTCTGGTAATTGATTACGAGTGATTCCGTATAACCGTGGCGCAAACACAGCGGTATCTTGGCTACAATTCAAGGAAGGCGAACCCTTCACCATTTGATAGGTTTCATCTAGACTTCCTCGCCCGTCTTTATCCTTGGATGGAATGAGGTACTCAGATAAGTCAGCATTTGACAAGCTCTGGTTACCTTGCGCCAACTCCTTTTCCTTGAACACATTCAATCCTTTAGAAAACGCTCCCCGAGCCATGATTATCGACCTGCTGTTGGACTTGGGAGGTATTAGCAAACTTAACGTTCAAGTTTTATGGTAGATATTGTAAAGTGATGACCTACTCTTACTGTGCGCGAAGAGGATGCAACACTTGCTTCAGGATTCTGAGGATGCGCATTGGAGGATTGTCGTGGAATCGATGGTAAGTGGTTTGAATCACTGAAGGGGTTGAATCTTGAACTTGATTTATTGGGCTTCTGTCTGCCAGTCGCATGTTGTGCTGCCCGGTTTCCTTTGTTATTTCGATCCATTTTTATACTATGCGCGTTGTTATCTTATAAATAGAGCTCTTTTGAGAGGCAAAGCGTGGAACTTGATAATTATTCGTCATAAAACAACTGGTACTGGTGAAAGTTGTGGAGGATATAATCGCGTCTGCGACTATGAGGATGGAGGTAGAAAGAGAATAAGGGAGTGCCGCCTGTTGGAATTCTTTTGGGGGAAAGCAAAAAAGAAAGCCGATGAAGGCTAATTTAGCGATTTAATCAGTTACTTAGAGAATCTTCATTGAAGAATTGGACAGAAATTATGCAATCAGCAATAATTTGCTGTTGTGGAGCAGTGGTGGTGATGTTTTTGAAGATGATAGAATATAGAGACCTAGGGCTTTGTGAGATCCGAGGCCGAACAGTCGCAAATGTCAAGCAAGAAAGGTGGGTCCACTCAAAATACAGAAAGAATATCAAATATTTCTTTCAGACGAGTGTCTGGGCGGTGAATAACTTCGAGTGAGTACTATAGTGATCAGGTGGGGATGGAAAGAGAGTGAATTTTGGGAATTATGATTGTGCAAGGAATGGGAAGGCTAGCTTTAGTCCATCACAATGGCAGCAAGTGGGCAAAGAGACAGCAAGCAGGGTGTGCAAAGAAAATGAACCTCACTGTTGTTATTTTTGTTGTTATTTTTGATGCCGACTGAAACTAGTCAATCAGGAGGACCTGTTGTTAAATCAACTTCGGATCAACAACTTCGGATATTGCCGGTTGCTACCACTAATCCTTCTGTTGAAATCTTGATCCCAAGCTTCATATTATCAATTATTTCCCTCAATGTAATAACTATCTCTCAAAGACTTTAAGAAGAAAGATCTATATTGTTCATTGTCGTCATTCCGCCCATTATTTACCTTTTGAAGAAGTTTATACTCATCTGCCTCTCAATCTGGAACAGTGAGGCTATCTGACAAGGCTGGTCCAACTCAACTTGAATGGCAAGACTGTAAAGCACAAGTCTTATTCAAAGAATACAAGTGGAATGTCTAATATCTGCCGGTTTACTCCTTATGTACAATATAATACAAAGCACACCAGACTGCAGAAGCGAGTCTATATCAAGGTTAAACAACAGTACTCAATCCAAACAACTATACCTTCTACACATTTGGTGACAACAAATCATACTTGACACATCTTTCAACCTACATTGGATTGTCAGCATTTGAACATCCATCGCTAATTTTCAGTGCTAGATTAAAGGGGCTCGGGCTTGGGCTCGGCATCCCAAGACATACAAAATAAAAACTTCGTGTGGATAGGGAGAGGTGGAAAAAGAGAGCCAATGTCATGGGGCAAGGTGTGTGCAAGTCTGTTCAAGCACAGCCTGAATGATGTTGCGCTACAAACCAGTTCGTTTCAGAAGGCATAGACTAGCCAAGCTAACCTGGCACATTGACAAATTGCTACCAGCCCACCGCCAGAGGCAGACACAAAGAACATGATAGTTGCTGCCAAGCGTTTGACCAGAATAGAAGGCAACAATGATACATAGGAATGCAGTGCAAGAGTGGCGACGAAGAATGCAACAGCAGATAAAGAGACGGAAGTAAAGAAAGGGCGGAACATACATCTTCAATGGAAGCCTGCAAGAACTTTCTAGCTTCCAAACCTGCCCATACCTTCAGCATGGAGAAATCACCTTGGCGTAGCATTCCACCTCCACTCTGTGCTCCCAATTCTCGCAGAATAGGTAGTGCAGAGGAGAGCAAGTCAATATCAGGGTTGAGACTTCTGCCAATACCCTCGAGCAACAAAATGCTGATGACCACATTGACAAAATCCCCCTCCATCCTGACATGATGAGTTCGGACCATAGAGAGAACCTCGTTTAGTATATCCCCTATCTTCATGTTGCCCAGTGCTAACGTGCGACTCTTGACTCCTAGGACAAGATGTTGCATTTTCAAAGAATAAATCTCTTCATCAATAACTGCATCAGGCTGGCGACATCTTTGACACATCAAATGACCTGCTTTATAGCCATCAAACTCAGCCACAGCTTTGAAGAGATCAAGAAAGTTTCTTCGATTGGTTGCATTTAGTTCTGTGACCAGTCCTGTGTCAATGAAGATCAATTGGGGCCTGAACCCTTCTTTATCAATTTTTGAAAGTTCTGCTTGCCATGCCTGAGGATCCTTTCTATGGCGATATGGTTGAAGTCTTGCCAATACTTGTTCAGTGACATCTGGTTGGGACTGAGGATCTTCGTCTTTATGTTTACTGAAAGGTAGGTTGGGCTTCTCAGATTGGTAAAAGCGGACCATAATATTACCTGGATGAAGGTCTGCATGAATGAAATTGTCAATCAGCAACATGCGTAAGAATGCATCAAGTCCTTCATCCGCAATATCTTGTTGGAATACACCGCCACCATTTTCCATGAAGTCAGATAACGGTATACCCTGTGCAAATTCCTCCACCAGTACTTGTCTTGTGGTGAATTGAGTATATGGAAATGGAAACCATGCTGTTGTCCTTGGCTTGAAATTCTTCCTGAAAATTGACAAATTTGCAGCTTCAATTCGAAGATCAAGTTGCAATCTCATCATTTGTCCAAATTGTTCGACTTCATCTGGAAATGACAGCCATTCAAATGTGGGAATCAAATTTATTACTGAAGCAAATACCCACATAATCCGTAGATCTCGTCTAACAACTCTTTCTACCCCTGGATGAAGAACTTTAATTGCAACATAACTTGATGGGACTCTTTGTGGTGTGCTCTTAATAAGCGTATCGACATTTTTACGCACATTTCTTCGTATGTTTGTGGGCTCTTGTAGATCTGGATCTCCTGGTATTGCCAAATCGGGTTTCAGCTTGGCCTTGTAAACTTGTGCTATAGCTCCCACCCCCAAAGGCTGCTCCTGAAACTCCTCAAATATATCGTCAAAGGGTCGCCCATCAAAAGCTCTACTTATAATCCTTTTGGTGGCATGTAACGAGTGCGCGGGTGCATTGGAATGGAGTTGTGACATAATCTCGCACATTTGCGAAGGGAAGATATCTGATCTAGAGGCAGCCCATTGCCCAAGCTAGAAAGTCAGCACAGCAAAGTACAACAATAATTAGATACCGCACCTTAATAAATGCAGGCCCAGCTCGTTCCATAGCCTTAACTAAGAACCTGTACCACCACAGTGTACCCATCCGCTCATTGTCTCGCGCTATATCCCTAGGCCCAAAGTATGCAGCGGGTATAGTAACAAGAACTGGAACGAATATAGCCACAAGGTGCAGGAAGCGTATGCTTGTGCAAAGGGGTTCCCATAGATAGGCGTCTAGAAAATAGACTATACTATCTTTTACTCGTTGAAGCCCTTGAACATCATCGCCCACTTTCTTGCTAATTTCCTCCCTCGATGCCTCTAGCATTCGACCTTCTGCAGTCATCTCAGTTCCACCATTATCCTTTTCTGATAGTCGAACAAATACTGTAGGGCTTAAGCCTGCTGCAGCGGCGAGTATCAGCCCTTTGGTCTGCGGAGGCGATTTGAATTGCCAATTTCCTCGTCTTCTCCAACCCCCTTCTCCTCCACCTCCACCTCCACCTCCACCACCATTCCTATATGATTGTCTTGTCGCTGATTGAATATTTCGACATTGGATCGAGGTTCGTATTCTAGGAAGAGTCTGACGAAGACATGTTCGACCTGTGGCCAAAAACATCCTTATCTTCCTTCGTGTGAAGATTGGTTTGTTCCCGTAATTGAGTACTATCGAGGCTCCATAGATGTTTTGTTGTTAGTAGGTTTAGTTAGAGTACAACCCAAACGTTGTTAACCCCCCTTCGCGGAAGCATGAGATGCGCCAGTGAACTATTGATTCAGTGACGTCAGGAATCAATTATAACATTTCTTCATTTGAACAGCACCAAAAAAATGTAATTCAAGTTCATATGGTAAAACATGTCATGATGATTGCGAAAGATAGAAACATTTAAAGAAGAAATGGGATTTGTATATATATATAGGTATACATCTAATTACCCAGGTAATATTATCATTCAATTTAGTCAATGTCAACAACCTGATTCCTTTCATTCTCCGCGCGTTTGTTCCATGTGATAAATTATGCTCTTTACTCAAGGGGACCCATATAATTTTTCGTGAACGGCGGAAGCAACGGTTCATCGCCGGTTTGGGTAAAAAAAATACTTGAGCGGCGGAATTTTTACCGAATCCCCTCTTTCCTCCTCTTTTTCTCTCTTCTTCGAATCACAGTGAAGCTAATTCCAATAAAGATACATTCATTTACTTCTTCAGTGTTTAAGAGGACATCAATTATCTCCAATTTATATTCTCATATTCAAAACTAAAAAGTACACAAATTAGTTCATCCTAAGTCTCGCAAGCAATATGGGATGGTTCTGGGCTGATTCTCCTGCAACTGCTGCTGCAGCGTCGGGTATGAGAAATGCTCCTCACGCCTTGCCCAAGGATAGCAATGCCACTCCGCCTGTGAGTAGATAAATCTCTGTTCTTACTCAGTCATTTTGTGATTCTGATTTCCGCTCGCCAGCCATCATGTCCTATGCACAAACCCAGCGCAGATGCTCTGAAGCCTGTGGCAAAACCTCCAACATCATCACCCGAATCCGCCTGCCCATATACGCCCGACAACGTCTCTCAAGAATCTAAAGCGACGTCTAAATACTCCAAATACAACCCTTTAAATTACATGTTCCCGGACTTATCTCAAGAGAGAGCGAAGGATCAGACTATTGCATTGCCAACTGAAAGAGAGCCATCTACGATACCTAAAGGCACTGGGGATGGTAACTGGGAGTATCCTTCGCCACAACAAATGTACAATGCTCTTCTGCGCAAAGGATATACTGATACGGATGCGACCGCCGTTGAGAGTATGGTATCAGTTCACAATTTCTTGAATGAGGGTGCTTGGGCTGAAATTGTAGAATGGGAACGAAGATTTGGTAAAGGGTTGTTGAAGGGCTGGGAGAATTGCAGGAGAGGAGAAGAAGGTTCCAAGGCAGGAGCAGAGATTGGTGCAAATGAAGATGAAGTGCCCCAGCCCAAATTAGTTCGATTCATGGGCAGACCGAAGGAGATGACACCAAAGGCTGCGATGATTCAAGCCATGGGTTGGGCTTTTCCGGAAAAATATGGGTATGTAGTTTTGCGATTTGTTTCAATGCCTCAACTTGGCTAACCATGATTATAGCACTGAGCCACCATTCGATCGACACGATTGGTTTGTCCAAAGAGAATACAATGGCCAGAAGAAGGAAGTTAGATACATCATCGATTATTATTCGGGGGGCGAAGAACCCACTGGAGAACCCATATTCTATCTGGATGTTCGACCCGCCCTCACTCCGACGCAAGCTGTAGAGCGCATGATGCGATGGAGTGGTGACGTCTGGTATCGCGCATCAGGTGCTTCCGTTAGAGAGAACATCAAAAAGAATTAGGAATATGTCTATTTCTTGAGACATGATATGGCGTTTTGCAGCGGTTTTTAAGCAATACGCTTCGGGTTGGGTTATGGTTTGGTATCTATGTTTATGATCTGATTGGATCAATGACTTGTGGTTATGCATGTGGAATGGTCCCTGGGTAGGAATTACAGTTTACGCCTCTCTTCTCTTGTAGTTATTGATACCTAAATAATGACATTTCTTATTCACGACGTCAGAGTTATTAAACTTTCGCGTATAGCTTATGGGCAGCTTATCGCAGTGCGAGATCTCTAGAAGGTGGAGCCAGCCGAATCATGATAAGAGCTCCTTCAAATCCCCCACTATTCATACATTATTGTTCCCTCTTCCCAATCGTTTGAAAGACTAAGACAGCCAATATGGCGGAACCCTTTGTATCAATCAGGAAACATATAAAATGGGGAGCAAGTATTTATAATATTTCTACAATCCTACCTCAGATAGGCTAACAACTATTGCAGGATAGAGCAGCAAAAGAAAATACAAAGTGCATATCTTGAGCTGTTATCGACAGCCCTAACATGCTAACACACACTTAGCACTCTTGTCCTAACGTCTGCCGATAAACACTATGTAGACATTCGAATCCTTGACCCATCCCATCCACTCCCAAACAGTACCACCGACCCTCAAGCAATATTGAGGTTGGAGTGGGGTTTTGCGGGAACTGCAATCAGCACTCCCGCAGTTTTCAAAGATGGTGATAAAAGCATCTTGATCAAGCCTGCACACACGCAGTGGGTTCATGAAATAGATAATAAGATACGAAATCCTGGACCGAATGATCGTGATGAGGGTTACATGTATCCTGTGGAGGGCACAAACGAAGTTTTAGAAAAGGGTGCTATGGTGAATCCGGACACCGGGAAAGTGGAAGACTATGAAGAATTATGGGAGGATCTCGAGGTTGGAATGATGGAAGGGGAGAAGAGTGATTATTTTATGAGTTGGGTGCTGAAGACGAAAGATGCTGGTGAGGTGAACGGGATGGTAATTAGAATTGGCGAGTGGGTACAGGGGGTCATGAGAAAGGGGGATGACTTCTCAGTTGTTAGGTGGAAATGGACTACCGAAGAAGGATGGAAAAGAGTGTTGGCGATCGGTGAAGATTTCGGACTAGATAGCAAGGTCTTTGAGAGAGAGATATCTGTGGGTGACAGCATCAAGGTTGACAGCGGCGTGGAGTGGGAATTCAAAAGCTGTCACAAGCACAGGAAGTAAGCAAGGGAGCTGGAGAGCCAAGTAGTCAATATCGAATCTTTTTGATTGATATTATGATTTCCCATGGAAGAATGGTATTTCATTTTGCCCTCTCGTTGTGGCCAATGAGCTACTACCTTGGAATCTGCTCCGCGTTTGCATATTTACATTCCTGTTGAGGAATGTTAATATCTCTTCTCAGAATCTATAAGTATAGGATTTAGCTTCAAAGCAAACAATTGATTCTTACGGCAATACATGTCTCTTATTTCCATTGCATTCAATTCTGTCTGTCGTTTATTTATCTTGAATTTGTAAGTAACTATGCCCTGGTTATCACGCAACAGCAGTTCCGTGAATTCCATTGCAGACATGATGGCGGTCCCATCAGCACCTATTGCCCCGGCGAAGATATCGCCATCCTCTTCAATGGTTGTCACAGTCATTCCTTCGATCATCGATCCTACATGCGGGACATCACCCGCTCAATATCGTCATTCAACAATGGAAGTCCTCTGGAATTCCATGCAAATACTTTCTCGCAATTTGTACTGCATTCCTCAGATGATGGGATCTTTCACTTTTAGTGTGGCCCAAACGATCCCTAAGAGCTCAGCGAGAGATATGTATGAAATGGGCATCCAGTGTATGTTATGTATTATGGAGTGTTGGGCAATGCTTATGGTCATACCGGCATTCTTGACGATGCCTGGAGCGATGTTCATGATGTGTTGTGCGGCTATGTGGGGAGCTATGATGGGGATGGCATGGCTATTGAGAGGAAACGAGAGAATTTGTGAAAGTATAATGCCTGTTGGAGACTTTGGGGACGAGAAATGGATTTTTGTTAATGGTAGTTGTACCAGGTAGGCAGATCACCCTCTAGGAAAGGAGTATTTGTGCACATCGCTCATATTGGAATAGCTACACTCAAATGATGCATCACCTCACTCGACTGAGTATCATTTTCCACCGTCGCATGACCGGAATCCACAATCGCACCTTGGGGCTCCCTCTTGACCTTCTCCTCCACTTCCTTTCGATTACCATGCCCATCCACCGCACTATGTACTCGCATCTTCGCGAAACTCTTTTGACACCCAGTATCCAAAAAGTTGTCATTCTATCACATTCAACCGGCTCCAAGATCGTCTCTGATATCCTTGATCAACTACATGCCGATCTCCCAGCTAGTTTAATGGCGAAATTGGAGATCTATACTTTCGGAGCTGCAGGTGGCTCTTTCTCGAATCCGCTGGTCAATTCGCTATGTATGGAACTTGGCGCTCTTGGAGAAAACGAAAATACCAATATGAAAGCTTCTTATGAACGCGTAATACCTGTGAGTATCTTTGTATCATTATATTTAAATACCTATCTAATCGTAGGAATAGCACATTGAACATTACCTTCCTCTTACATCCTCGCCGCTATCTACTATGTCAATCTTGCATCCGGTCTTGCATACTCTAGACTCTCGATTCTGTGGCAGAATGTTCATCTTGAATGGGTTTCACCCAGTCTTGTTCGAGCAATACTTGGATATGATGTTCACTTGGCGCAAATCCGTCAATTCGGTTGATGGGTCTGAAACTCGAGGATTCTGGGATGAAATGGTCCGAGTTGATGGAGAGACAGCTGAAAAGAGAGAATTTACCGCGGGTGCAAGAGGTGCAGCTGGTATGGGAAAGGGAGAGAGGAGATGGAGTGGGATGATGCAGATGGAGAAGGAGGGAAAGAGAAGACCGGGTGGTTGGAGCTGGTCGAAGATGGGGATGGATGGTGTGGGAATGACGAGGAGGGAGGCGAAGGCTTTGGAGGGAAAGAGAATGAGAGAGGTGGGGAGGCTGGGTGGTTACGAGGGTGGCGAAAGACTAAGTGTGGGCTGGTTTGAGGGAAAGGGAATGATGGGGTTAGAGAAGAGGATGGTGAATGGCGGCCAGTGAAATTGGGGATAAGTGATGGTCTAGGGACTATGGACGGAATTGAGAGCGGTCTTGAGGGTGGGGATGAAGTGGTAGTTGATAATTCTGGGGATTCTCGCAATTTTAGGATAGATACCAATGGAGGCAGCTCGATTTCTGAGAACAAGGAAGAAGAAACCGACGTCGATTTGGATATGTTAGTAGCAGTATGGTTTTAACGAGGTCTGTTCTTACTTATAACTTTTTAATACTACGGAAATATGTATTTGAATTTTTGTTTTCTGATCGTATTATATTGAACCTAGCATGCTCCGATTTTTGATTTGAAAATATCGGGCTTTTTGCAGTGTCAGATCAAGACGTAGGTGAAATTCAGGATGATTCAGCTGGAGGATGTAGAATTTCAACGCCACTACCCCGAAAAGACATCGTGAGAAAATACAAGCATCACTATCCTGGTTCTCGAATGAGACCTTTTACTAGGTGCTGCTTTGACTTGGCTTGGCTACTATGCCCTTCGAAACCCGCACTAACGTTCTCTTGAGCCAGCGGCATTATAGGATGCTCTTGTTTGGTTGAAGCCTGAGGGGCGTGCTACTCTGTAGATTTTTGTGTTTTGGGCGCTGTAGATGAGGCCTTTTCTTGTTTCACAGGAGGCACTTCGTTGTATTCCTTGCAGAAACTACAGTTTCTCCGCGAATGCCTAGGTGATTCTCCACTCCTGGTTCTTTTCCTCTTGTTGAAATTAGAAGGTTGTCTATGTATAGCCCGTCGTGGAAGCTGTGTCGATTCAAAAGAGTGTTCATGGATAAGACCATGAGTAACATGTTTGCTGTACGTTGCATGATCTTTTTTATCTCCTTAGATACATGGAGGTGTTCAAAGGTCCTTCTAAAATAAACAATCTGGCGTCCCTTAAAGATCCCAGATTCTTCGGAAACTACAAGCTAGTCCTTGTCGAGTATGCCCTGTTCATTGTCTTCTTCTGTATTGTGCAACTTTCTGACGATCACAAAGTATACCTGACAGTAACAGTATATTGTGCTCGCTGGTAATCGTGTGTTAACCAAGGTGTTTTAGGCTTTGAGTAGCCTCAATCGCCGTGCTATCTCCAGACTTTCTAAATTTAGGCACACTGCTTTTCAGATTCGGGATTTCGATATACTATCCGACTGAAACGAAGCCGGGGACGAGAGGGTATGTTTTAGTGTAAACTCTGAATTCATCTTCGGAACTAAAAGTGTCTAGATGAAGTGAAGGCATGGTCTAAGAATGTGCTATCTGGACTGCAAGTTAGCTGCTGCCTTTGTTTTGAATATATTCTACAGCATACATTATGAGATATTAGATATCTTTGTCAAATGGTTATCTGTCGCTACGAAGAAAGATTTATGTAACAGATTTACCTGGAGCCTACCTTACCATAACATCTCTATTTAATGGGCTATGTCTTTTGGTGCTCTTGTTACTGTTGGCGTACGCGGCCTAAGTCCCAAGAGAACCAATCATAGACAACGTACCCAGCGACTTAATTACCTTGAAGCATGTGGGCCGGCTGACCAGGTCTCTTACTCTATCTTTTCTCTTTGTGTTACGTGGATATCGAATTTGTTTGTATGTTCATGTTCATTTGCCAAAGGCTCTAACATCGGAAAGCCAGGAACTCCGACGGGCAATCGGCTGGCCTAAATCCATTGGGAAGTCCCAGATAAGGTGTTCCTTCAGGAATACAGTCCTGTTTATTAGTTCGAGGATTGAGTAAGACATTATTTGGTTGATGAAAGTAGTGTGGGCGTGTCGATGCCCCCCCCCAGGAGTGGACCTATGAGCACTGCTCCATCAAAGTAATGGTTTTCCTTCCAGCCTTTTCACGATTTATTCCTCAACCTCCAGTCTAATAAATCCGGAATAGCGAACTAATGTTCAATTCATTTCCCGGATTTACATCTAAATATCTCTCTTGAGCTTTCCGAGTGGTTTTGTTCCATATTAAAATGCACATCGCTCGAATATCGCGGCTTTTGCATCGATAGATTTTCACGAAGGTCAATCTAAATTCAAGTATCACAAAACTTTATCAGTTCCTTCCTTTTTAATATCACTGCACTGAGTGAAATGCTCAAACTTTCGTTCTGCTACAAGTTCATGTCTTCCAGTAAAAACACACCACAGAACCTTTATACGCCGACGCACGACGTGTGATCAAAAACGAAAAGCTTTATGTACGTAGCGGGTGTGCTTCCGACCTTGTAAACTAAATTATATAAAAGGTGAGGAACTCAGTAGATTGCATTTTTATCAAGGAGCCAGCAATTTGGCCTGCGTAGGATTGTATCGCGATAGCATTTGCGTATTGAAATAAGCGCCGACCACTAGGCCTACAGGGCTGAATAACAGAGACCATCAAACCGTACGCAGCTAGGCTAGTCAAGGATGGCGGAGGCTGTTATTGTTGTTGATTATAGACTTATACAAATGTTTTCACAGTATTGAAGGAAAGGTCTGTTCCATTGAATTGAGAACACTAATCACTCGTGGAACAGCGATCAGAAAACCGCCATATTTGCAAACTAGATCTCATATTATTCTTGGATCAATCAATCCACCATTTACTCAAACATGGGCTTAAGGGGTAGGAGACGCCGCTCGTAAGTTTACCACTTTCTACATACACCAACACGGAAGTTCCGCTAACCACTAGTCATTTTATCAAGGAAATCTGGTGAAAAGAAAGAAGATAAATACAGAGAATATAGTGTCTACGCCAGCGAGTGTATGCTTCTACCTGGCTACATAGAGCAATCAATCACACTCGATGAGGGTACCAATGAAACAGGTAGGGACATTTGGAAACGCTCCATCAGATTTGAAGTAGATCCGAAGTCAGTCCAGAGAGACAGTGAACATGGGCATACTTACCGTGGTTACTCACAATCACATCGACTGGGCAAAACAGCACCAGGAGAGTTGAAGTCTTTCAAGGGAATCGTTAGGAGTATACACGACAAAATGAAGGAAGCGATAAAAAATGGTTACCGCTTCGGAAAGCTTGAGTACATAAGTGCTGTCCTCGAAAAAGCACTCAGGAAGGGAAGTTTGCTTGTTCATCAATCTAAATTGGAAGTTCTCGAGAACCCATCTGGCCGCCGAACCTGGCAGGCTCAATTCATAAGACTTGGAGCCAGAGACACGGAGAGAAAGATAACGAAACGTGAGAAGAAGCACGAAAAACGAGAAGTTAGAAGAGATGAAAGACTAGATCGGATTAACAATTCTAGGGTTGCGAGAGGATTGGGGGTACAGCTAAGCAATAACGAGAAGAGGAGTCGAAAGCGGCACGATCGGATGAGACGCCCCTCACGGAGTGATGCTGGGTCTACGGGGTCGTGGGAAACTGGTTCAAGTGCTGACTCTTATTATTCAGACCCTTCTCATGGAAGGCGGCGCCGCAGTTCATCTCGTCACTACGATGGCTATACTAGTGGATATGACGAAGACGACTCTTCAGATGACGAATCTGATACCAGATCGTATGCGTCTTCGGGGGTTTCGAAACCAAGCCGCTCCTCAAGCTATGGTTCCAGAAGCTCTGTCGCTTCGGGATCTGGTCGGTCAGACTCAGAATACGAGTCAAGACATAGAAGTGGTCGTTACAACAATTATCCGTATGATGATAGAGCGAATAATCCATATGCTTATAGATCGGATGATCCATATGCTTATAGGGCGAATGATCCATATGCTTATAGAGCGGATGATCCGTATGCTTATAGAGCGGATGATCCGTATAGAAGCTCGTGAGGAATGGCAAACAACGAGAGAGGGAGAGTAGGTAGCGGTGAAGGAAGCAGTTGGGAGAAAATGGTAAACAGGTTGTTCAGCATGTCCCACAGTTTTGGTACTGATCGGTCTGAGTTTTGTTATTGTTTCATTTTCTTTCTTACTATTGTTCATCATATGTATGATCTCTTCTTCACATTAATATACTTCATTACTTGGGAACATCTTATTTACCCATGTTTTTTCAAATATATTATATCTACTTGTGCAAAAAGAGCTTGCAGTGTCATTGAAGGGCATTTCCCGTGTCGAAAATCTACGCCCACAATCAGATATTAACTTTTGACTTCAAACGAATAGGCATTATTACAATAGTGAATATCAGGAAAGGATCGTTAGCCCAATAATGCTGAACAGATCCCACGGGTCGACCGATCTCTTTGACAGATACAAAGCCGCGGCCGATAAGAGGGCTGGCCGGGGTGCCCGCTCACACAACCTTATAACCTTCACATGCGCGCTTGCAGTGTGTATAGAATCTGTATACTCAGCCCCAGGGCGACGCTTGTAAACTCACAATCCACCCGGCCGAGCACCACATAACACTTGGAAGGACCTTCTGTATTACGTTCTTCATTTCTGGATTGCCAACTTAATTTGGCTGTCAAAATAAGACACGTCAAGAACGTGAAACGAGTGTGTCATATCTCTCACAAATAGATAATGAGCAATCTATCTGGAAGACAACGTTGATACATTCAAGCTCCCACAAGACACTTCGATTCACATAGGATACACTTGAGCCTATACATAGATATTACATATACTGTAGTGTACCGGGGCGCAGTGCCGAAGTGTGCTGTAGAAGCCGTCATGAGCGAGTGTGTTTGTAGTTCCTCCTTCAGATAGGATGAAAATTATCTAAACCACTACCTGGTAGAGATGGACATCCAAATGGACCGACCATATGAAATGGAACAACGACGATGCGCGAGACCAGTTAATTTACTTTCAGATTCACGCCGCAATCAATCAGGTCCGTAGAAAAGGTAAACATATGATAAAATGAATGGTAAAGGCTTCAGAAGTTGTCAAGTGAGATCATGCTTCATTGAAGCGTTCATTCTCTTCCTATATGTTTGATACTTTGTATCGTTCATCACCAGCCTTGATAATTATTGAAAATTCAATGAAAGAATTTTTTAAAAGTTGAAAAGCATGGGCCAAAAATGATTAGCGTG